CGCGGAAGCCGGCCCTCACGGGGCCAGCCGCTCGGGTCAAGCACATCTGCGTTAAACAGCTAGCTAAAACCCGCCACGAAGCCACTCGTGCTCGTGCTTGAAGTAGCGCCTTACTGACTGGGTGTTGCTGAGGGGAGGTGGAAAGGTAAAACCGCCTGGATAAAATGTCAGCATAGAGAAGAAAATGTCTTATTTCTTATTGTATCTTAGGGTCGGGTGTAATGTGTCTAGGCAGGTGGGAGAAGATTAAAAGAGAAGAGTTAGTAGTATGTCAGCAGTTGGATCGCTACAGGCTCTTGGAGTTAGGAGCTGTTGCCGTGAGTGTAAGAGGCAGAAATACATGTTTACGTCTGTTCTGTTTTTCATTATTCCTGTTCCTGAATGTTTCCATCTCTGTCAGCATAGGCTTGTCAGTTTGTTCTGAGCCTTTGGATTTTATTTTCTTCCACTAGTACGGTTTGCGGATCAAAATCCTGCAGGAGAAACCTGGTACAAATAAATCCTGTTTTCAGCAAAGTAAAACTGTGATATTTTGATTTTTCTCTTGTAAAACACTTTTCCTTTCATCTGTGCAGCTGGCATTTTTGGAGTCCTAATACTCTACTGCTCTTCCTAAAGCTGTATTTCATTTTCTTTGGGATGAGTAGTTTTGCTCCAGTGCTTCAGCAAGGTACTATGATACAGCACTTGTAACCTCAGATGGATTTGTAACCACAGTCAGAGAATAGCAGCTTTGGTTTTCCCCATGTGTGTATGTATATTTATTTTACATACATGCATACATTCGTGCAGGTAGAAGGCAGAAATGGAAAAACTTGGGTTCTTGCTTGTGCAGTTACCTCTTGTTTAGCAGGTCTCGATTAATGCTCATATAGAATTTGTTCACCTGAAGCTCATTGCAGTGTTATGGCCTTGTAGTTTCTAAAATATCCTCTTATATTAAAGTCCTTTCTTTTGCAAATACCTCATGCTTTTGAGATGACCAGGATCGTAAGTTTGCAAAACAATCAGCTTTGCTCTTGGAAAACAGAAATAATTTGGATTGCATTTCACAGAAGAAAACAGCTTGTCTGTTGGTAGTGAAGTCATTTCATAAATTCCAGCTTGCAGGTGTCAGCTTGCAGAATGGGAAAACGTATTCAGATGATTTTGTTTGGTCTAACTTCTAGACAATCAGAAGGGATAATGATGATGATTTTTCTTCTACTATTTTTCATTGCTCACCTTTTATAAATATACTGGTGTACACAGCTCATTTAGACATTTCAGTGTTTCACAGTGGTGATTTCAGCTATGTTCTTCCCATCTGTGCCATTAGCTTAAATAAATTTAGTAAAGAAATAAAATCAGTTGCTTTTTTTTTCTGAAAAGCTTCAAATGCTGGAAATTCGCTTGCATCATCCCCTCCTCTTCCTCCTCTTCCTCCTCCTCTCCCCTGCTCTCTCCCCATTTTGGATTGATAAATCTGTAAGTCTTCATTCTTACCTGGCTAGACCAGGGTCTTTGATGCTGATAGGGTAGCAACAATGAAGAAATATTATAAAAACTTGCATATAAATACGTGAAACTGATTTATTTTGCTTGCTAGTGCTCACAGACTGTCTCAGTATGGAAGATCCTGTCTCTTTGACTGACAGTGTCAGTGCAGTTTTTCTCTGGAATTGTGTCAATCCATAGAATTTTATGTCCTTTGAAAACTTAGGAGGGGAAGGAAACTCAACAAACCTCCAACAAAACCAAAAACAGGCCTTTCATTAAGTTATAATTAGAAGTATAAAGAAATTCTATTTGAAATGTTTTGTCTGCTGTGTACAACCATCAGTGGCTTTCGTTACTTGAAGTGGTTATTATTAGTCATGGTTTTGACATATATAAATCATATAACTTTTTAGTAGCTCATTTAAACTGACCCACAGGCCAGTGAGGTGATCGGAATGACTCTGGGGTCAGTCAGCCTTGAATTAGACTGTAAAAGAGTAAGATAACAGAAATGTTGCCTTTCTGCCTCAAATGGGTTTTGTCTGTGAGAGCAAAATAAACTCCTCAGTTTTTAACATCTTTTGCACTTAAAGGACATATAATTATAAATATTGGGAAGTTGTTTACACTTGAAAGGGTGGTACTGAAGAAAGGATTACTTCTACATTTATAACGTGGTATTATATCATTATACATATATTTATACAGTATATTGTATTTTAATACTACAATATTTACATCCATTTTCCTAATAGTTTGTTGGCACATACTCCTGCAGTTCAGCTGCTGGATGATGACAATAAATTATTTTTACTTTCTAGTATTATAAGCAAGTCTATTTACTCACCAAATTTTTAATGGAAATAATGGAACACTTGAGAAAAATAAATAGGAATTGAAGCTGCCTATATTGCATTCTCTGATTAAATTTCCAGGTTTTGAACGGATCAAAAAACGTTGCCTAGCTTTTTCAGTGGATTTTAGTCCTGCCTTCAAAAGAAATAAGATTGATGAAAATAAAGAGCTTTAAAGTCATTCTAAAATTTCTTTCCTTTTCTTACTTATCCTCACTTCTTGAGCATTTAGCAAAAGGAGGGGATGGTTGGCAACTGACACATTCAGCTTCTGTCTACTTGTTCCAAATGATGTGAATAGCTACGTGTGTTAACGACCTTCAAAGTATGCAATGCATTAAATAATGAAGTGACAAATATGGAATTACAAGTTGCATTTAAGACAGTACCTTGCTATTTTTTTCTGCATCAGATAGCTTTGTTTGTGAGACAGTTAATCACTCTAGGCTTTTTGGTTACTGTGATGCCTACACAGTTCAAACTTTTACCAGCTAATCATTTTTTTCTTGGAACACATTTTCTCTGTGCTCTATGGTAAGTCAGTGGTTCACCTGAGGTATGCCTGCATTGCATCAAAAAACTCAAAGGGACTAGAGGAAATTCTGGATTTAGCAAAGGTACCTCTAGCTCCAGAGACTGAGGTGTGTCTTAGGGAGTTCAGTACTGAAATAAATCCATTCCAGTTGTCTGAATTAATAACGATGTTTGGACACATGAAATTACTGTTTTGTTAGAGTAGCATCTGATAGATCCCAAACAGGTCATTCTTCTTTGTGCTTGTGTACTTTACACACAACAAAGATGTCCTTCCCACAGAGAGTTTACAGTTTCTACCTGTGTTGTACAGCTGATCTGGTCATGAGCTGCATGTGTAGTTAGAATTTTCCTGTCTGTGCTCCACTCCTGCGCACACCTTTTTCAGAAACCTCTTGGGAGTGAACTGTGGGTGGATGAATTAATCTTTGAGATGTCCACTTGCACCCAGGCACTGTATTTCCTACCTGCCCTGTGGTCCTTTTGTTGGTAAGTCATATGCCAGCTAAATTTACCACGTTCTTCTCATACTACCCTTTTCCTAGTAAATCATTCAAAGAGGATACTTACTTCCAGGCTGAGAGGTCAGGTTGCTTAGCTGGAACAGTTTTGGCCATATGTTAGTAAGACTTGAATTTACCCCACAAGTGCATCGCAGTTTACTTCTGAAGACTGCTTTACTCATATCAAATTATGTGTGCATAACGAATTTGCTGATAAGGTAGTAGAGGGGCCATGGCATATTTGTTGCTAAAATAAATATGTACAGTCTGCCTGAGTGAAAAGCTTGGTTACTGTTGGGTGAAGACTCTTGAGATGCTTTGTGGTGTCTTTGGGGTCTGCTAGTCTGTTTAGTGAGTGATTCTTCAGTAGTATAAAAACAACCTGAACAGTTCTTGTCTTATCATTAAAATGTATTAGCTGGAAAAAGTCTTTCTGGAATACTTAATGTAAAAGATACTGAGTCATTTTAATATGTTTATTTGTTGGAAAAGAAGGGGAGACTGTATGTCTGAAATCACTGGCAATAAGAATAATGGTATATGGAGAGACTTTAACATTCATCACAGATATCGGTTTGTTTAATAAATGGTATGTGTGAGTGTTGAAGTTCAACTGTACATCAGGGCAGCTGTAACAAAAGTAATTTTTTAGACAGGCCTATTTGGTACACCACTGTCCTCAATGATGCAGGAAGATTGATATGGGGAGTCCAGTCCAGGAGAGCTGGTTGATTTTCAAGGTTCACCTCCTAAAAGCTCAAGAATGGTCCATCCCCACATGCAGGAAGACAAGCAAAGATGGCAGGAGGCCCACATGCATGGACAAGGAGTTCCTGACAAAACTCAGACATAAAAAGGGTGCACACAAGAGATGGAAACAGGGTCAGATCACCCCAAGAGTAATATGGGGACACTGGGAGTGTAGGTATGCCGTTAGGAAAGCCAGAGCCCACCTGGAGTTGAATCTGGCAAGGGATTCAACTGGTGAAGGGCAAGAAAAGGCTTCTACAGGTCTATCAGCAGCAAAAGGGAGACTAGGGAAAATGTGGGCCTGCTTCTGAATGGAGGGAGGGACTTGCTTAAGAGAAGGACATGGAGGAGGGTGAAGAACTCAAAGCTGTCTTTGTCTTGGTCTGTACTGGTAAGACCCACCTTCAGCAATCCCAGGCCCCTAAAACTCATGGGGAAGTCTGGAGCAAGGAAGAGTTACTGTCACTGGAGGAGGACCAGTTTAGGGAACATTTAAACAGACTGCAAATACAGAAGTCCAAAGGACTTGATAGGAGGCACCCACAAGTGCTGACGGAGCTTAACAATGTCAGTGCAGGGCCACTCTTGATAATCTTTGAAAGGTCATGGTGACTGGAGGAGATTCCTGAAGACTAGAAGAGAGCAAATGTCATCCCTGTCTTCAAGGAAGGCAAGGAAGAGAATCTGGGAAAACTACAGGTTGGCCAGTGTCACCTCAGTCCCTGGGAAGGTAGTGGAGGAAATAATCCTGGATGCCATTGCCAAACAAGGAAGGACAAGACAAACTTACGAAGGACAAGCAGGTGATTGGGAAAAGTCAACATGTTTTTATGAAGGGGCAGTCATGCTTGACCAACCCAAAAGACTTCTGTGATGAGATGACTGCCTTCAGGAATGTGGGGAAAGCAGATGATGTTGTTTATCTCAAGTTTAGCAAGGAGTTCAGTACTGTTGCCTATAATGTCATACACAAACTGATGAAGTATGGGCTAGGTATGTGAACAGTGAGGTGGATAGAAAACTGTCTGACCTGACTGACAGGTTCTGATCAGTGGCATGGTGCACTCCAGGGGTTGATAATGACTCCAGCAGTGTTTAGCCTCTTCATTAGTGACCTGGACAACGTGCACCCCCAGCAAGTTTGCAGAGGATACAAAATGGGCAGGAGGGATTGATGCACCAGCTACTTGTGCTGCCATTCAGAAGGACCTCAGCGAGAAGTGGGAGAAATGGGCAAATGGGAAACTTGGCATTTGCCTTCGATGAACTTGATTTTCCAACTCCTGCCCCTGGTAAGGAGTTGCCCCATACACTGGTGCATCCTGGGGGCACACTGTCTGGAAAGCAGCTTTGCAGAGAAGGACCTGACGGTCCTGGTGGGCAACACACTGACCGTGAACTAGCAGTGTGACATTGTGGCAAAGGTGGCCAGCAGCCTCCTGGGCTGCATGAGGAAGAGTGTTTCCAGCAGGTCAAGGGAGGTGATCCTTCCTCTCTGCTCAGCACTGGTGAGACATATCTGGGGTGCTGTGTCCAGGTCTGTGCTCTCCAGCACAAGAGAGACACGAACATACTGGAGAGAGCCCAGCAAAGGAAGATTATTAATAGATTGGAGCGCCTGACATATGGGGAGAGGCTGAAGGAGCTGGGGCTGTTCAGTCTGGAGGAGAGAAGGTTTAGGGAGGATCTTACCAGCATGTGTACATACCTGATGGGGGGCAGTAAAGATGACAGAGCCAGATTCTCTGGTGCCTAACAAGACATTAAGGTAGTTGGCACAAACCTGAAATAGAGGTAATTCTATTTAAACCTAAGAAATACTTTAGATTAAAACAAAACAAAACTCTGAGTGATTGAACACTGGAAGAGGTTGCTTGGAGAGTTTGTGGGGTCTCTGTCCTAGGAAACACTCAAAACCTGACTAAACAAGGTCCTGAGCATCCTGCTTTGTGGGGGGTTGGACTAGATGATTTTCAGGGGTCCTTTCCAACCTCAACAATTCTGCAGTTCTGTAATACGAAGATGAAGTAGGCTGTTAAAATAATTCCCTAAAAATCTTTATCTGTACTCTCAAAGACATAGTATGAAATAGGTCTTTTTTTCCCAGGTTATCTGAGTATTCTTTATTTGTTTCAGGGATTATGTGCATTAATAGTTTATAAATCTTAGAAGCAGTGTGTCATGGGTTATTGAATGGTTTGGTGAGAGAGGCAGCATGTCTTGTCAATCACAGTTGTTTCAGGTTTCATGTGTGCTGTTCCTCAGCTGCATATTAAAAACTGAAAGTCATGAAAATTCTGTTTGCATTCAGTTTTGCAGATAAGGCGAATTTATGAGGTGATGCTTCTTCAGGTTAATACTATGTAATACGTTTCCTGGAAAAAGGGTGGTTTGTGTTGATCTTGTAATTAGGATTGTGTCAAGCAGAAGATGTGGATTGGGTTTGTGTAGGGGAAGATATTCCGTATCTGGAGCTCTAATTACTGTTTTGTTGGAAGAGAAGGAAGAAAATGATCACAACATGCTGTCAGCAAGGGATACAACAGGCAGATTGAGGTACTCTCTGTGCACTAGAAGTGCAAAACATTTACCTGAGGACAACATTGGGGGACACACTCCTACTTGTATTCTGTTTTCTTCTTCCTGGCTAAATGCATTATTGAAATGTGGCTATAGCCAACACGAGTTTGCTGTGTTAGAATGATTTTGGGATGTCTGCATCTAGTGATGTGATTTGAGATTCAACTTAGTCAGGACCTGAGGTGTCATTGTGAAACTCAACTCCTAGACACTTGATGACATTTGGTCTTTATTTGAAGAAGGGTAGGGACACAAGCAATCAGAGACAGAATACTACAGGCTTTGGACAGTCTTGTCTTCTTGCTTTCTTACATTCCAGTTCTAGTGTGTCAAAGGAATTGACAGTTGCTAGTAATTCACTTGGAAATCAATTTCAAGCAATAAATAATTTAAACTTGCAGTGAGATACTCCACTTGAATCTACTGATATTTTTTTCCCCACCTCAGTTTCTGAGAAAACCATCTATTTGACCATGATGAATTCCTTTCAAATTATAGCAATTTACTTTCATTTGCACCTCTTTAGTACCTTTAAGAAAAAGACTCCTTATGAAGAATCTTAGCAAAGCTTTCTTATGTTAAATGGAACTACTTTTACAAATGAGCAAGCTGAGACAAATTAAGACAACTACATCCACAACAAAAAAAGCCCCAACAAAAAAAACCAGAACCCTTTTTAATGATTATTTTTCTAATACAAACCAGAAGTGTATGCATAAGGTGGTGTCAGTATAAAAGGTTTAAGATAATGCTCAGTCTGTGCAAATTGGCTATTTGGGGTCTCTGTTCTTTTTGTAAACTTTTATTTGGTTCTCTTATACATTAACAAGTTTGACTTGTTCAAAGATGGCATTCAAAGTGTGTGACGGCCATCTTCAGGCTTGATAGAAATTTCCATCAGCTGCTGTCAGTTTCTGTGCCTCCAAGTGAAGCTTTGGTAATCCAAACTTTAACCAAAAGATAGAGTAGATGCAGGTCTCCCATACGATAGCACATTATGCTGTTGTCAAATGAACTACTGGACTGAACAGATTTTTTTTTTTTTTTTTAAATGGGATTTATTTGCCTTGAAGCCAAGATAAACTGGCTTCACATCAAAGAGCGATCTCTTCAGCCATGTACGGGAATAAAACTGTCAGGCAGCAAATGTATAAATTGTGTAAGAACAGACTGTCTTATGTTCATAAAGATTATTACCAGTATAGTATCATTTAATGAGAATATCTACCTAAATGTTTTTTTTTTCTTTTGCTGCAGAACTTTGTCAAGTGTGAAAATGAGTTCCTATAATATGAGAAAGTCTGCTTTTTCTTTCAGCTTTTGCTGTAAGTGAAGGTGCAGAAGATAAGACTGAAGTACCAGTGCTGCAGGTAATAAATTTTAATTGCTAGAGCAGGAACATTTTACAGACATTATAAAATCATCTAGAAGAGACTGGAGCAGAAAGCCCAACATCTGTGACATTGACTATTTTGATCATTGACTTCAGTGGTACTAAATGTCATATGATGTCTTTCTGTTCTTTGTGGCATATAAGAGGTGTTTAATGGGACACAGACTGCATGTAGCACTGCTGTTCTAGTATTACTCAGGTCTTTATTCCAGTAATTCCAAGAATCCATAGGATAAATTAACTTAGCACTTTTTCTTTCTAACGCTGGATATTCTGACTTATGTTGACATTTGTATTAAGAGAATTAGGCTTTCTGGGTTTTGTTGTGGAACAAAATTACAATTTAGAAAACAATTTATTTTCTTTTTTTGCAGGATCAGCTGAAGAGTCATTAGAAACTTATGCAAAAGCACCAAGTTTTTTTTACTATAGATTCTACAAGTTGATAGTGTTATTGCTGTTGAGAATAGTTTTTGAGTATGTAACCTTTATTTTTCTTTCCTCTTGGTTTTGTTAAATATATAATAACTTGAGAGGAAATGGTTTCCTCTCTGCTAAATTAACATTATTACATATTGCTACCCAAGTCACGGCTCAAGTAAAGCTTGTGTATGAAATTTCAAACTAACAGATTAGAAGAATTAATGGTCAGAGCTAGCCCTACTGTTAAACAGCATAATGGGTGTTAGGTGTATGTCTTTTATCAGATTTCTGTCTACCACTACTTTTTTTATATGTATATATTTGTAACATATTTGTGTATGTATAAAAAATATTTAAGGGAAGAAAATCAAATAAAAGTACTGGGATGAATCAAGAGTTAGAATCTATAACCGCTATGTAGATCTAGTGATCTCACATCAAATACAATAGAAGTATGGTCAGAGATATGTGTTTCTAAATAATTTTTTGTTTTGGTGATGATTGCTATGTCAACAGTAATTGTCATAAATGAGAAAGATCCCTATTGCAAACTGCTGATCTGCTGCAGTGTATCTGAGAGACTAGGTAATGTCATTCTGTTTTCATTACTTACAAATTGCTGTTTGTCAAATTCCATTACTGGCTCAATCCAGCTGTTTAATGTTATAGTTCTTATATAAGATATAACTTATCAAGGCTTTCCTACTATTTTAGAGTCTCAAATCTTTCCTTCAGATGAAGTCAGAGGTGCCTCCTAGAACTCTTCAGGCTAAAATAAAAAGATTTTTTCCCCCCCCTTTTTTTTTTTTGCGTTAACAGGACTGTAACAGGCACTAATTTTTTTGTGTGTGTTTTAATAAAGGTAACGGTAAGATATGGCTTGTTGATCACACTGTGTACCACAAAACACATACTTTTTTTGTCTAGAAAATTAATCTCCTCATATTGTTTATGACATAGGTTAACTTAAAATGTGGTGTATATTATGCTGCAAGATGGCAGTACTGTGTATAGTCATCAAAATAAGTTAGTCTTACAAGAATTTTTTTAAACTTTATTGACCCAGTCAGCAAAAAAGTCATAGGCTCAGATGCAATGCAGTCATTCTTGAAAAAGGATACAGATGGCTACCAAGGAAGTTGGAGCTAATGCATTTCAATGTAAAAGTCAGACCTGGACAGAGGGAGAGGTCATCTGATGCAAGTAGGACTAAAATGATCGCGTGGATATGATATTTAAAAAAAAAAAAAGGTGAGAAAAAAAGTGTTTATAAATAGGAATTAAGTCACAAGGGTAGGAAAACTATGCGTATATACAAGCTTATTACTGAGGAGTGCCTTGTATGGCATTTCTATCTGAAGGTCTTAAAATGCTTGAACCGAGATAAATCCTACAACATCCTTATGCAATTAATAAAGATTATCTTGATTTTACATGTGGAGAAACCAAAGCACTGAGGTGAGCTACCAGGGAGAAATTGTGCAATAAATGAAGGCTCTGGTTTACTCTCTAGAATTTTTGTGGGAAGTGCAAAGCTATTTCTCCAGTCCTCTCTCTCTACCAGTCAGCAGTTCTTAACACTTTTCCACCCAGCCTCTGTTATTTAGAAGCAATTGAATACACTCCTAAGATATTTTTATGTGTGTGTCTTAGTTTCTAGGTTAATGATGCAAATGAAATGTCACTGTTGTCTGTTCCTCAGCACTCTTTTAACATCCCATCACAAATGTATGTAATACCTGAGTAAATCCCAGTGAAGTCGTGTTATGTACAACCTTTTCATATTGATTTGTCTTGATATAAATTGCTTTTGAGTCTTCCTTTAAGAATTGTGTTTCAATAGATGCTTTCCTTTTTATTCTTTTACTGTGTTGTCTAAGTAGTAGTATACAAACATGTAGAATATCTATTTCAGTTCTTGATAATGAAAACTTTCTAGTTTTTTTATTAGCTCTTGAGTTTAGACATCTGTGTATGTATTTACAATCTGAGGAATGCTTTGTCTCCCTGTGTGTCTGTAGAAATATTTGAGTTTTTGCATGTGTCCTTATTTTGCTTTTTCTCCTTTCTTCTAGGAGTCTGAGAAAAGTGGAACAATTAGTAAAATAAGCAGAGGTAAGTACTGTATAGCCTGTATTTGCTTTCACTTGTGGATGCCTTTTCAGTATAAATAAAATATGCTTATGCTTTGAGAAGTGACTGTGTGAACACTGCCTAAATGCTCAACAGCATTGGTAGCTAATTGCCGATTCCAAAATACTTTGTATTTTTTATCTTTGCTCATGTAGTCTCATGAAGTAGAAGCTTCTTGATCTTTGCTTGTATTTGCAATTCTTGTAGTTGTGTTTTTCTGAAAATGTGCACTTGCACTATGAAACTGATGCACTGCTTTTTGTAGTGCGCAGTATTTTAAAATAAAATTTCATGACACTTAGTAGTAGTTCTTGTAAAAAATTTAACATGAAACTGAATTTTTACCATTCTGCTAGGCTCTCATGGTACTTGTAATAACTAGAGTTACTATAAATTACTTGTAACAACTTGTAATAACTTTGTAATATCTGGCAACAATTATTTAAAAAACATGACATTAATAGGATACTGAGTGGTAAAATACATTTTTACTGGACATGTGAGATAAATTATGAGAATAAAAATTCTGCAAGCTTCTGCATTTTCTGAAAGCAAGTCTGATGTCCTTCCAGCAAAAAGTTTACAGACCTGAGATAAGGACTTGCGATCTCTGCACTGTCACCTAGTGCTGCCTCTGTGGTACTATAGCAGTTCAATTCTTAAAGCAACTTGGACTCACTTTTCTAAACCCTGAGCACGTGAGTCTGCTAGTTCTAAAAAGAGCCAGCTTGACCATGTTTCTGTTGCAGCAGTTTCTGAGTAGTTGTGAATTCGTTCTGAAGTCAAAGCTGAACACCTGGGTTACTTAGCTTTTAGTGGAGTTGCTAACAGAACTCTGAATGGTGCTGAGAAGATCTGGATTTTGTTTGTTGGCTTTCTTGGACTTAGTTGCAAGCTCTGTAGCTAACACAGATAACCACTTTTGTGGAAAATAATTCAGTCACTTGTCCCATTTATCTCCCATTTTACCATTGAAAGGTTAGGACCTGTCTATAGAAGCTTTATTACTCTGTTTCCTTGTTCACCCATCTTTATCTGGTGTCAAACAAAGTCCATTTCCTCTTTGGGTTCTTTCATCTCTTTCTGTGTAATCTCATAGCACAGCCAGGTGCTGGTTGCTGCTTTTATCACTCCCAGCAGACCTGCTGTGTCTCACTTCATAAAACACCCAAGGAGGCATTGACAGACTTTTTTTTTTGCTTTTGACAGTGCTCAGTTTTCATAAGCTTTAATATAATATCATTACTTTGGAAAGTTATATTTAGGAACGTTACAATGGTAGTGATGTAACTACCATCTGTTATCTATTGTTTGTTTCAGTAGGAGATCACTTTAAAGCAGGCAAAGAAAAGTATTTTATGCATCAGGTAGCAAAATTTAGAAACTTGCTGCCACAGAAGGTTGTGACCATACCAGCAGTTTCAAGAGGGGACAAGTCCATAAATGTATGGTAAGATAAATAGGCAGCAATGTATCTTCTGACATTTCCTAATAGAATAAGCTGTGGATGCTATTAGAGCATGAGGAGCACTGGAGAAAGTGAAGGTCATGTGGTGTCCCTAAATAGTGTTTTCTGTTGCTACTGTTAAAGACAATATAGTAGGTGGACCACTGGTCTGATCATAGAATTATCGAGCAGTTTGGGTTGGAAAGGACCTTTAAAGGTAATACGTCATTTCTTGTGTTCTCAATTGTTTTTTTTTTTTTAACAGGATTCTGCCTCTCCTCAAGAAAGAATATTTATTTTTAAAGTCTCTTTAACCCATTTCTGTGGGTAAAATTGAGGAAAGGATTGAAACAGAGAATGAAGTTCTTGATGGTTCTTAGTTCCCATGATTTTTTCATTCTTCTTTTTCAAACTGTTATACAAGAAAATTCTTTCTCCTTTATAAATAAGCTGTACCTTTGTCCCAAAGAAGCAAAGTTATCTTCTGTAGTTTTCCTTTCAGAGTTTTAAGAAATCTTTTTAAGTGTCCTTAGCCAAGCCTTTGAAGACAAGTATCAAGATCTCAATATCCTAGTCACTGGGAAGACAAATGTAATACAGAGAAGACTGAACTTCATGTTCTCATGGTTGCTTTGTCTACTCAGAGTATGATGTAGCTTTCTGGATTGGCTGGTGTGCAAAGAGTTTCATGCATGGATATGTTATAGTCCAGCCACCAGCCAAAAGATGAGTGATGTGACTTACCAATGCTGGGTCATCATTGCCATGCCATGGCAAAAAGTCTTGCCCTTCAGGTGGATGTATAGATACTCTACTGGTGGGTGTATTTGTCCCCAAATGGTAGGCTGTATTGCTGACCAACAGTATTTTCAGCTTTTAGAATATTTGAATAACAAAAGCAAATCTCTTCTTGAAGTGAGGCACTGGCTATTTCAGGCTAATGTACAATGATTTCACCGCCTTTGGAAACTCAAGGAAACATTGAATTTGGGAGCATAAGTCCTCTAGATTCCTTCTGCAGCCTGTGGAGAGACAGGGGCATTTCCAGAGGGTGACCGAGATCCAAGGCGGGTTGAGTTATTTTCTCTGGAGAGAGAATATTCCTCTCTCCACAAGAGTATCTACTAACTACTTTTTGGCTGTGGAGCATGGGGTATATGGTTTGGGTTTTTTCTTTTTCTTTCTTTTTTTCTTTTTTTTTTTTGTTAACATGTGTGTTAAATGAGAGAAGAAGAACGAAGTAGTCTTGAGGCTTTTTTCTTGGATCTGATTCTTGCAAATATGGTGATGTTATACCTCCTCTGATCTGCAAATACCTGCAATATTCTGAAAGGATCAAAAGTATTTTTTGCAGCTACATCCTTTTAATATCCTGCCTGGCCTAGTTCTCCATTTTATCTAGGCTCTCTAGGAATTTGTTTGGGTGGAAAGGTGAGAACAACATGCAAAGTTTAAGTAATTTTTTTTCTTTAATGTCGGTGCAAATGCGTAGGTGATGAACCTTCCCTTTTTTTTCTTTTGGGTAAGTATTAAGACACATTATGAGTTCTGAAGTGGTAAGCAACATACTTTGTGTATTACAAAACTATGAAAAAGTGTACGATTTGAGGAATAACAGGATACTCCCCACCTAGAGTACTGCATCCAGCTCTGGAGCCTTTAGCACAGGAAAGACATGGACCTGTTGGAGCGGGTCCAGAGGAGGCCACAAAAGTGCTCAGAGGGACGGAACACCTCTCCTGTGAGGACAGGCTGAGAGAGCTGGGGTTGTTGAGCCTGGAGAAGAGAAGGCTCTGGGCAGACCTTATTGCAGCCTGCCAGTACTTAAAGGGGGCTTATATGAAAGATGGGGACAGACTTTTTAGCAGGGCCTGTAGCGATAGGACAAGGGGCAATGTTTTTAAACTAAAAGAGGGTCGATTTAGACTACATCTAAGGAAGAAATTTTTGACAATGAGGGTGCTGAACCACTGGCACAGGTTTCCCAGAGAGGTGGTAGATGCTCCATCCCTGGCAATACTCCAGGTCAGGTTGGACGGGGCTCTGGGCAACCTGATCTAGTTGGGTATGTCCCTGCTCATTGCAGGGGGGTTGGACTAGATGACCTTTAAAGGTCCCTTCCAACCCAATCTATTCTGTGATTCTATGATTTCTAATTTCAAGAAGTAAACAAGTATGCTAAAAATGTGGTGGGTTTGGAATTGATTTTAAAGGTTTTTTTTTTTATGTTACTAGGGGAAATAGTTTAGTAAAATTCACTAAAAATGTGATGGGTTTGGAATTGATTTTAAAGGGTTTTTTTTGATGTTACTAGGGGAAATAGTTTAGTAAAATTCAGGAAATAGAAATATTGGTAATATTCAAACTGTGTTGAGAGAGAGTGTTTGAAGTTTGGATGGCTTTCAGTTCTCATGCCACAGGCCATAAACTCATAATCAGTCATTAAGATGCTTATTGCATATATGATAAATAAGCATGCACACAGACATGAGGTTGTGTGTCTGTATCTATCTCTGTGTGTGTGTATATATATGCATACACTGCCTTTAATCCTGAAATATTCCAATAACTTTATATAAACACATTTACAAATTATTATTCTTAGCGTGAGAAAAGACTTGTCTCTGCTTTTAACTGTGGAAGTTTTATACGAGGCTACAATAATCCGCTCAAAATATAAGAACTAAAGATGCTGATCTGGGGTTTCAGGTTGATTTTAGAGTTGCATAAAAGCAGGGGAAGGCCTACAGAATATACAAGTGGCCTAATTTTTTTAAACTCAAATTGGAAGGTGAGTTTTCTGACCTACGCAATAGAGTCTCTGGTTTGTGAGTTAAAGCACTGGTTTAGTTTTTGTCTGACTAAATGAGATTCTGTACTTTCTCACTGGAGTGAAAACCCTGTTTTCATTGTACAAATATTCCACTTAGCTTTAAAGAAATAAATTTTATTTCCATGATTTCTTAGGAAGGAAAAACCCAAAATAAAGAGGAGCTAGATTTAAGCACCATTAACAGAGCTGCAAGGATGTCAGTGTCATTCTTTTACCTATTAGAGGCCAGTGGTTAGACTGCATCCTAGTTGTTTTAAAGTCATCATTGTTATTTTTGGGAAAATGGTTTGGATCATGTCACACATACTCCAGGAAGTACGTAAGTCATCATGGAATCCTGTCTTTTCTGTTGATGCCTGTTCTAACTTTTTAATTATGTTTTTAAACAATCAGTGAGTCAGAGGCATGGTTCTAGATGCCCACTGTTTCAGGAGAGTTAGGTAATTAGGAAGCTCAGGAGCCATTTTCACTCTTCTCCATTTCTGGAACAATAGGAGAGAAGGGGGAAGACCCACCTCAGAACGTACTTGGAGCCTGGAAATTAAGACACTGACTTGGAATGCCAAAGACCTACATTCAGGACCAAACTACCTCACAGATGAGAACTTGGGTTTCTTGCATCCTGGGTGAATGCTTTATCCTCTGGCTAACAGAGGAAGGCTGGCAGGCAACATCATCATCTTATGTTCTTCTAGGAGCTTTTTTCCTCTTTTTTTTTCTTTTTTTTTTTTGTCTTGAAATGCTTGTTTCAATTTTTTCAGTAGCTTTTAGTTGACTAAAACAGCCCTTTGTGGTGAGTAAACTTTGCAAAAAAAAAAAAAAAATCATACAGGTAGTTTATTAGTGTTGGTCGTTATACTGCAATACTTGTCTTCCAAATAGCAGTATTTCCCCATTGCCATCTTTTGAAATGATTTAGTGATAATTCCTAAGGAGGCCTATTTTGCATAGGGTCACTGTATACTTGCTAAAACACACGTTACAGTTAATGACTTGTTAAAAGTTTATTAAGGCTCTGTTCTGTTTTGCAAGGAGACATGGTTATGGTAAGACTCGGGAAGTTTCAGCATTCCTGTTTCTCAATGTTTTTTTTTTTCTGTGAACTTGCAGTATTTTTCCAATCAGTGAGCATTTGAGATTGTTGAAGATGTTTTCCAGTTATGGAAATGTCTTAGGGAAATAAAAGAGAATAGAAGACAACAGGAGAAATAAAGTATATCAGTAGCTCTTTTGGATATTAAACTTCCAAAAGACTCCATTCTTTGTCTTACTTGGTTACTCAACTTGAGAAACAATTTAGGTGTTTAAAATTATGCATACTTTCTGTTGACATTTTAATATACTGAATATTTCTTGTAATGAACTATTTTGAAGTATCTATAGCAGAGGAAACTATTGCCATTGGATTAAAGCAGTAACACCAAAGTAGTTATTAGATTACTCCTAGAAAGTACTCTATTGTGGGATATTACAGCTGTTGTTAAATGTACTGTAAGTGAAACTGAGTGCAATTCAGATGCTTGCATATCTGTAAATGTACTGATACTAAACCAGTAATTATAGAATGCAATATAGTTTTTGCTTTTTATCTCTGGGGATATTTTCAGTGTGGTGCATACAGTTTTAGCCCTCTGAGACTCACTAGCATCATGGAAGTGTAAGTTTAATTTTTTCACTAATTTTAATTTTTGCACAGGAGATCTAGCAAATTTCTTGCTAGATAGCAAATAGCTGCTGCTCAGACATTTTTATTGTGCATGGATTTTTAAGCAGTTTGGGTGGGTCAGAGCACAAAGGAACGCTGTGTGGGAAAAAATGTGAAATCAGAACTGATATCTATGTCAGTGCTTGTGCTATCTCTGCAACTTTATCACCAGAAACCTCACAGAATTTGACAGTTTCAGAGTTTGTCTTGGTGAATAAGCTAATAAATGGAGGAAAAAGAGTATCAGGGGAAAAGTAGAAAAACATTTAACTGTAGCTTTGAGCTGTCCTAGGTCTAAATGAACAAGTAACTGTTCAGAGGAGCAAAGAAATGTAATTGATGATCAGGTCTTGGACATGGCAATCTTCTGATAATCTTAGCAAAAATATTTGGGGTTAATGCTCTTTTTGTTGCCACTGTTTTTCTTGTGATCATTCTTCATGTGCTCAGTTTTACTCTTTTTTCCTTGACAATACTACTTTCCTTTTTGGGACATGGAGTCTCCATCTTTGGTCCACTGTTTCACTCATTCTACTCTATTTGCCAAGTTAGCGTTTTTAACCTAGAGGTCAAGATCTTGATGTGAAACTAGTATCTTTTAGGTTTACTTGATCTACAATGCAAGAATATACATTTTAAAAATAAATATTGCATGATGTAAAATGTGAATTTATACAGCAATGAAACTGCAGATTAAAAGTGTTTGAAATACTCCGCTGACAAGAGGCTTCACATGCTTCCTCTGAGGTGCTCTGTCCTTGGGACGTTTGTTTTCAGAGAGATGTTGCTTGTAGTAAAACCTGTCAGCTTTCAGTCAGCCATGACTGTCTGGATTTTCTCTGCTGAACTTTCATCCTGGACTGTTTTCAATTTGACATCTCCTACATGTCATTGAAAGTTTGATTTCAGTGGAAAACTAGTAACTGTTCTTAGAAAGCTTTTTTAGAGGTTTTATATGTTTAAGTTCTCTAACTTCCATAATGTTGCTAATGAAGGTGGTCTTGAAGTTCTACTTTTCTGAAATTTGACTCTTGGAACTTTTTTGTTTTGGTGTGCACTTTGTTCCTTCTCCACATTTTTTGACATTCTGTAGAGATCCCATGTGACTTCATCTTTGATTTCTTTCCTTTTGTTACCTTCTTGTCATGGAGTGATGTCATCTGTAAACATTAACTCAGCAGCCTTTTCTGTGCTGTTTCCTCCTAGAATCTATTACCTCTTATGCCTGGTCTGCCTGTCACCTCCAGTGACAGAATTTAAATGCAATTCTCAATCCCTGCCCACCCTACTTATTAAGGTCTACTTATCTCCTTGAACACTGAACATTGCTACTGTCTTTTTTGTTCCTTAGGCAGTAATTGGTCAGTCACTTACTTGTACCTCTTAAGTTTTTATACCCTGAATTTCCACATCTGCACACTTTCTGCATATGTATGAAGTGCAGCCTTTTCTGGCAAACTAAACAGAAGCTGCAATATAGTGTCTCATCTTACACATTGCTACTTAGTTATGGTCTTGGGTGGGTTATACAGCATAGGTCAAACTTGTTGAGAATTTTGGAAGGCGCATCTGTCTTTTCCTCCTCCTTTCACCTTCTCATCCTCTGTTGTGTTCTGCTTCTGAACGGGATCAAATCTGCCTATTTTTCTTAGCTTTCAAAGTGCTGAGAGATTATTCTGTCTACTATCACCAAGAAAATTTGGCTATCTTCAGCTTCTCCATGGTATCAGCCTTCATTTGTATGAAGCCTATATCAGCCTATTTGTATTTTTTAATAAGTGTTATTTTTCCTGTCCATAAATGTTTGCAAAGCTATTTTCTTTTAAATTTCTGTGAGTCTCATCTCCTGTTGTGAGTTCTTAACTGTGGTGCCTTTAAACACTGTGAACACACATTTGAGGTTTTGATGCTGTCCTATCAGATAAAAGTATTACCTCATTGTTCTCACGTGCATTTCTCTCCATGTGATATTTGTTTCTGGGTAGGGTTTTAAGCTCTTTAATGAGAAAGCATCGTTTCCATTTTGTGTTCATCCATTGCCTAGTGAAGGGGAGATTCTGGTTTATGAGTAACACCTTTTAACTCTGGTAATAACGAGTGCTGATATATTGGAGAAGGAGGAACTTCATGAATGTGCTTACTGTTAACTGCGGGCATAAGTTTCTTTGTTGCTGCAGATCTCCTAGTCACGTCATACTTTTTATGTGTTAACCCTTAAAAAGACCGGCTTGGATTTTTTTTTTTGTCTGTTAAATTATGCCTTTTTATTATTTCATGAAATGTTTATATAATTAAAGAAATAGCTTGCTATGCAATAGATTCCCCTGTCCCCCCTTCCCCCCTGATTCTCAGTAGCTTTGGAGCAAAACTGAAAATAACTTCTTTTGTCTTTAAACCTTCTTATTTTCTGGTTCACAGAATTAAAAGAAATTGTATTTATCATCCAGAGTCAAAGTAATTCTTTTCATTCCAAGAGAGCAGAAGATCTAAAAAGAGATATTTTAAAACAGGCTGCAGATCTTGGAAAGGTATGTTTAGATAATATAGATTGCACCTTGTTATATATGGGTTTACTGCATTTTGCTAAAAATATAGTTTTCTGTTGTGCCTTTTCTGGATCCATTTTATTAATTGTCTTCTGTGTGCTTATGAGAGAACTATTTCAGTGGGTGTTTACTGATTGTATGCCATGATGTATCACCAAATAATTTTAATTTCAACTATCTACCTTTTTGTGTAATTGTTTTTGTTTGGATGGCATTTGATGTAAAAGTGATAGCAAGAAAGATTTGTAGTGTGTGTTTAAGAAAAAGTCAGATGCTTTCTGTATGAAGTGAAAACCATAGTAATTTAAAGCACTACTTAGAATAATTTTTAGGCGAGTATTTTATTAGAGCCAACGAAGATGCTGTAATGTAGATTTTGTCTGAATTCTGTTGCGCAACTGTAGCATTATGGCTGTAGAGCAGCAGTGTACATTGACGTTAAAATCCTAACACAGGATTCCCTACTTCCTACAGCAAGTCTTCCACAACTCTCTTGCCCACATTGGTATTAGCTCCCTCCCTGGTTTATTAACGACTCCTTGTTCCTCTGCCACCCCACTGGGGACTGAGCACTCAGCCTCTCACCTACTGGTGAGCCATGCTGGCCTGGGAGCTGCAGGTTGTACAAGTCTGGTTTTGACTTAATACTCTAATACGAAATTTTACTCGTAAAGCTTTAGCCTAGAGAGGAGAGATTTTTAAGGAGACTTACTCTGAAATTTAAGTGTACATAAACAATGCTTTATTTTCTCTGTCTTTAACGAAGATAAGAACAAATTAAACGGCATACATCCCCTATATATGAAATAGCTTGCTGTGAGGTTATTGGACCTATTTTTCAATTCCAGGTTCTTTGTTGTAAAGGAAAAAAAAGTCTGATTTAAATTGTATTATGAATCTTGTCCTTGTAGTGCCTACATCAGGTTCCCGGACATTTTAGTTTTCATTTATCCAAGCTTATCAAACCTGTTGTAATTAAATCCATTATAAATGCAATTTCTAATCTCTTAATGAAATCAGTCATCTGAACAGCCTTTGTTCTGCAGAGTTCTGCTCTTTCAGAATCCTCTTTGGGATTGGGGCAAGTGTGCAGGTGCAATGAGGAGAGGATTATGGCTTCCGTTGTTAAAAACAAAGACTTATAATTTAGTTCTGTAATTGATGTTGCAGAATATGAATGATGAAAAGATCAATAAGGGAAAGTATAAATAATTTCAGTGAGGCAGGAATATAGGAATGTTTTATGGGAGAGAGGTAAAATCGTTTTTGTAATCAGAGAGTTGTACCTGTGAGTACTTCTGCCTTGAGCAAACTGAACTGGCTTTTAAAAAACTTCATTGTCTAATTATAGGAGATTCCTTTACAGGAATGCTGAAATGGTAATGCTTTTCCATTAAGAGGTATTCCTTTTCCTATTCTTTAATATTTCCAGTATTAAGAGGTACCTGTTAAACAGCATTCATGGCATCTTAGAGAAGCAGTGATGGAAATACATCACACCAAAAATCTCATATCTGAAATGTGGGAAAAGAGGAAAGCCATCAATCTACAGGAAAAAAAATGAGCATAGTCAACATGTACTTGGCATGTCTTGATTGCTTTTGTCAACAAGATTCTGCTCATCAACATTTGAAGTTCACATTTTTCATTAAAAAGAATGCACATGACTTTACTTTCAGGCAAAGGAAGTTAAATCCTTGCATTTTAAAGGAAAACTGCTGTATAGAAACAAAGGACTGGATCAACTGAATCATCAGGTTCACTTGCCTGTTGTCATAGGACCAAATGATAGATATTTAGTCCATAAGGATTCATTAGTTGTTATTTTCTGCTGTTTTAAAAAGAGAAGTGGAAGCCAGCTACTAGATTTATATTATTTAATGAAACTAGAATACCTGCATTGCTTTAAAATGGATTAAATCACTCACATTCATATTTACTTTACATTCATCTTTACAAGTAATTTGTCCATTTATTTTCTTTCACTGTGAAAATATTTTTTTCATGTGAAACTAATCTAATTCTGGTCACTAGTAGATGTCATTTTTGACTTCATACTTAAAAGCATATTCCATAGTGATTTATTGAGTTTTAACCAAAACTCTTAAGTATATTAAACAATGGCTAGAACATAGCAGTGAAGGAAATTCCTTAAGATTTTTACCAATTTTCTTAATTTTCTAAGATTTCTGCATTTAAGAAGCTCTGTAAACTAGGCCTTCCTAAGAAATGCCAGGTAAGAATAAGGAAACTGTCAGAGTGTGAAATTTATATTTGGGACTGTTCCCTCTCTAGCTTCTTAATAGCCAAAAAAGTTTTCAATTTTTTATGTTTTAGACTAGAAAACAGGTAAAATATGGTTTTTTGAAAAATTATAGATTTTGTCTGAAATACTGGTTTAGATGCAGTTAATGCTATTTAATTGCCTGGGATCATGACATCGTTTTGAAGACAAAGGTCTGTGCATTTCTTTATGAAAACTGGTCTAGTAGAACCTTCCCCTGGCCCTGCCCTGAGGGTTCATATATTGAACACCCTCAGCGTATTCATTATGTTCAAAAAACTTATTTTTCCTGAAAAGCTTAGAGATTAAATGGTATCCTATGTATGTTAACCGGAATAAATATATCAAATTAGTAGTATTCATTATGGAATTTAAAAAAACCCACAACACAAACCAGTCATAGAATCATGGAACAATTTAGGCTGGAAAAGATCCTTAAGATCATCAAGTCCAATTGTAATAATAACACTACCAAGTCTACCACTAAACCATGTCCCTAAGCAAGTCTACATGTCTCCTAGTATTTAGAAGGCATGTAGGCACCAGGGAGAGTAACTCAACCACCTCCCTGGGCAGCCTGTTCCAATGCTTGACAACCCTTCCAGTGAAGAATCTAAGAATGAGATTTGAAGGACTGATACCATGGAGTATTGGAAAATGAAAATGTGTCACATACTTCCATATGAATAATAGATGATGTGAAGTATGACATTTATAGAAACATGTGGTGGGTTGACCCTGTCTGGACACCGGATGCCCACCAAAGCCACTCTCTCACTCCCCTCCTCAGCTGGACAGGGGACAGAAAGTATAATGAAAAGCTTGTAGGTTGACATAAGGACAGGGAGACATCACTCACCAATTACTGTCACAGGCAAAAGAGACTTGACTTTGGGAAAAAAAAAAATTGAATTTATCTCTACTCTGATTTGATTCTTAATGATAAGAACTAAAACCAAATCTTAAAACACCTTCCCCCCACCCCTCCCTTCTTCCCAGGCTCAACTTCTCCTGATCTTCTCTACCTCCTCCCTGCAAGTGGCGCAGAGGGACAGGGAATGGGGGTTGCCGTCAGTTCATCACGTTTTCTCTGCTGCTTCTTCCTCCTCAGGGGGAGGACTCCTCACACTCTTCCCCTGATCCAGCGTGGGGGCCCTCCCATGGGAGGCAGTTCTCCATGAGCTTCTTCAACCTGAGTTCTTCCCACAGGCTGCAGTTCTTCACGAACTGCTCCAGCCTAGGTCCCAGCCATGGGTGCCGTCCTTCAGGAACCCTGGGCTCCTCTCCCCATGGGGCCACAGGGCCTGCCAGGAGCCTGCTCTAGCATGGGCTGCCCACGGGGTCACGGCCTCCTTCGGGCATTCCCCTGCTCCGGCATGGGGTCCTCCCTGGGCTGCAAGTGGAGATCTGCTCCCCCGTGGAGCTCCATGGCTGCCGGGGCACAGCCGGCCTCACCATGGGCTTCCCCAGGGGCTGCCGGGGAACCTCTGCTCCGGCGCCTGGAGCCCTCCTGCCCCTCCTGCTGCTCTGGCCTGGGGGCTGCAGGGCTGTTTCTCTCACATGTTCTCACTCCTCTCTCTGCCTGCAGTTGTGCAGGTTTTTTTCCCCATCTGTTCTCCCAGAGGTGCTACCACCGTTGCTGATGGGCTCAGCCTTGGCCATTGGCGAGTCAGTATTGTAGCCGGCTGGCGTTGCCTCTGTTGGACCCAGGGGAAGCTTCTAGCAGCTTCTCACAGAAGCCAGCTCTGCAGCCCCCCGCTATCAAAACCTTGCCACTCAAACCCAATACAAAGCACTGCAATTATAATTTGCAGAATTTTTACTATTGGGCTTACTTTGTTTTGAGCAAAATCCCGTCTTTTGTACCATCTCATAGAAATTAAGTTTGACAGGTTTAAACTATCCCTGTATACAAAGGGGTATATTGCTTGGTTTTTAGTTTGAGCACTATTACTGTAGTGATTATTAATACCAATTTAAGATAAATAAGTACAGTCAGAAGTATGGAACTGTACATAGAAAACCTCCATATTATGTTGCTTGAGTAAAAATTTACTTTAGTTAAGATCTTCATTAAATTTTCATAATATTGTTTCTGTGTCAGTCTCCCAATTTCCAGTTTGGCTAACGTGAAAATGGGTGACAAATATTAGGAGCATTCTATAGTTGTGTTCTTTTTTGTTTAAAACAATTTTGCAAAATCCTGTTTCCTGAAGCGCAGCAGAAGCAAAACTGATCAGAAACCCAGCTGGCCTGTGCCTCTGTTCTGTGCCTCAGAAATTCAGTCATGGCCACAATATGTGTTGCCGAAGTGCCAGTTGTTGTTGAGTGTGCCATGTGTGCTTTAAAAATCTGTTATTTTTAATTGCCTAGGCTGTACTGGTGGCAGCACTGGACTATTTCAGTAATATGGAAGATTTCTTTGTTAAAGCGTTGGAGAGGGGGAAAAAAAGTATAATTGGCTTGCTTGAATTTTAATGTATATATCTTAAGCCATCACCGTATTCCTGTCTGAAATTGATCTGTCTCCAAATTGTTCCTGCTCATGTTTTGGCCATCTGTGAGAGACTACTTTCAGGGTATTTGTAGGCTGTTTCTTCTGTATATTTTTTTGTGTGTGTGTAATTTGCCAGTAGGTCATAAATTCCTTTTCTATGTGAATTAATGTTTTCTGAAGTTCTTCCTAGCTCTACTTCCA